CTTCATTAACATATGATTTGCAAATACTGCAGTATTCTTCTTTAGCTTCCACATGACATTGCATGTAAAGATGCAGAATATAAGATTTCAAAGTTCCAAACACCATGGTATGGTAAGAACAATACAAATGGTGGAGAGGCAGGTTTTCTATAGGGAGGTTTGGGACAGCATTGACATGTGAAAAGGTATGTTTCCTAAATTTAGCTGTCACTTGAGGGGAGGAGAAAATGTCTTGGCTTATAACACAAAACTTACACTGGAGAAAGTTATCTGTGACTCTTGCACAAAAACGGAACATTACATCTTGTTGAATATGTACTGGCAGGTTACCTAACGGATGTAAAGGGGCAAACCTTCCTCTATTCATATGGTCCTGTAACTCTGATGGTAATAGTAGAGTAGGACATTCTCCACACAAACGTTTTCTCTTTTTTGTCATGGATGCTTGATTAGTGTTTAAAAAAAACGGAATTTGAATATCAGGAAGGACGGGAGGGGGGGGGACTAGTATGGCCCCAAAAATAAGACTTGGGGGGTGTTGTACAATAGGAGGAGGTTTTGAAGATGATGGCGTTTGGGTACTATTTTCAGTCATGATTAGGATATCTTGAAGGTCGTCTTTAATTTCCTCGAGTGAACCACTCTGTGGAGTGCTATCAATCTCCATTTCTAAATGGAGGTAGGCCCGTGCCTGTTCAGTAAGATCTGGGAAGTAATCTCTGGAGAATTGCAGAGAAGATCCTAGTAAGGAACTGGGACTATGAATGTCTTTGATGTCTTTAGGGAGGTCAGAGTGCCCCCAACCCATGCTGTTGTCCTTATCTACCCTATCAAATGATGTGCCTGCCTCGGGGGACAAAATTTCGTAACAATGCAAGTCCGGAATATCCAGGCATAATGGAGATAGGGCCATCAGTGCATTGGGCGATAAGGGGGGAGAAATAGGAGGTGTTGGAGATTGAGAAATAGCATCAGAAAGACTGGAGGAGTTATCCTGCATGTCCATTCTGTCTACCAGAGGAGTATTAATACCTGGGGACAACGGGATTGTAATATCTGAAGAACTAGGAGCAGAAGAACCCTGAGGTTCAGAAGTTTGGTAAGAAATATTGGAGGAGTGCAATATTGGTTCACCAATAATCTCGAAGGACTCATCAACATAAAAGGTGATATATTGTTGTTCTTGTGCATTGGTGTTTAAAGCGGTTTTAGAGGCGCAAGTGTCCATTAGAGATACATGGTTGACCTCTGTTATCTGTGAGTTGGTCGGTTGATCTGTGTTCTGGTATGAAAAGTACTTATCTGTCTCTTGCATAGTATAAATTGAAACCTCCTGGCTTGGAGTTGTTGGCGACTGTACAGTCAGAGCAGAATCCAAGGTTGACATAACTATGGAGTTTGGTGGATTTTGTGGCAGGAATGCAGGAGTGGAGGTTGAAGTTAAAAGTGGAGAGGGAGACGGTGGAGGAGGTGGAATAGGGGAAGGAGGAGGAGGCGGAGGAGAAGGTTTAGGAGAACGGGGTAATGGTGAAGTATGATTAGTAGGAGGTGGTACAGGGGGCAGCGGAATATCCAACAACCAATCATCCATCTAAAGTAGAAGAAACTTTAGTACCAACAACAACAGGAATAAAGTGAAAGGAATGTTTGCAAAGAGAAGAAATAGGACAGAAAGATGATGTTACTTTAAAAAAAAAATTGCAATAATTATGCAGAGTGGCCAAATTATAAAGATATAACAAGAACAAGAAGAAAAAGTGCATACCTGAGAGTTAAAGAAAAACAATTTCAATGCTAAAAAAAATGTGCTGAGCCCACAAGAGCTTAGACTCAAATGTGCTTACAGCAATACTATGTTGTAATATATACATGTTTTGATAGTAATTTATGCTTATAAGTATATTGCTTTCTAGAAAGTTATAGAGAATGTAATTTATTTGTATATTTTATGTATGAAGCTTTTTGTTTGCCCAAATTTTCCAGCAAGCAGAAAAAACTAAAAAAGAGGTTTTATTCTTGTACAAATTGAACTTGTTTTGATAAAGATGTGTCCGAGTCTGAATCAGAATCACTGATTGCAGGTGGATAATTTTCTTTTGCCCTTTGACGAGTTAGAATTGGGGAGCGCTGTTTTGGTTTAGCAGTTTTTTGGTTACGTGCATTAGGTTTCTTTTGTTGAGTAGAAAGCATAGGGTTCGGTAAAAGGGTGGAGGGAAAATCAATATTTGTATCAGCATTAGAAGGAAAATGCTGGGGTAGATTTATCATTGTCTCCGGCAAAATGTTGGTATTAAGGGGTGGGGAGTTTGTATTGTTTATTGCAGGAGAAATAGGGTTTTGTAATGAATTTTTAATGTCCACTGGAAAATTGTTATTATCAGGGGAGGTGTTAGTTTCTGTATTAGGGGTGTCTTCAAATTGGTGGTCTGAAGTAAAAAGAATTGGTCCTTGAGGCAAATTTAACTCAGAAAATTTTTGCAAAGTTTCAAAATGTAAAATGTCTAATTCTTGAAAAGAATTAACCAAGACATCTTTTACTTCTTGAGGAAGGGGTTGAAATTGAGGATCTAGTCTAGAGTATTTCTTTAGATCTTCAAGGCTGTAAACAGTTACTAAATCATCTGCTAGTCTTCTTACCACTGCTGTAGTTGGGCGCACTTTAAAACAAGCTAAGGATCATTAGAAAAAACAGTTTTTAGGGGTCTAGTTGAACCTAACAGGATTGCCCTATCCTTTGCAAAACAGTAGTCCCCAGGCTCTAATTTTGCCAAAAATCGGTTTTTGTTTAATTTTACATTTTTTTCCATTTTTTCCAGTTTTAATTCTTCTCTGAGAAATGTAAGAATTTCTTCTGTTTCTTTCTGTTTCCTAGCAACATTATTGGCATGATTATAAAGTGGAGGATACAATTTTGGAAGGGAGGTTTGTAAATATGATATCTCTGCATTTTTAGAAGTTTGTCCATGTAGTAGTTGCAATGGGGTGAGATGAGATAAAGCATCAGGGGTTTCATTCATCTGCTTTGTGACAATTGGCAAAATATCAAGCAAAGAATAGATTGGGAAAACAACAGCTAAAGATTTTTTTAGCACATATTTAAGCTTTTTTATATAGCTTTCTGCTTTGCCATTGGACTCTGGATGATAAGCACCAATTCCTATTCTTTTTATGTTTAGCACATGCAGCAGAGTGAGCAGGTCAACATGAGAAAAACAAGGTCCAGTATCTGCTAAAAAATAATTGACATTAAAAAGCTGGAATATGTTGTAAAGAAAATGAAAAAACAACCATATTAGATTTTTTCGATTTTAGGGGATATGTGAGTAAAAAGTTTGTCAAAGGGCAAACTACAATGAGTACATGACTATAACCATTATTTGATGGCAAATTTTCCAACAGGTCTAGACAAATAGTTTGTAAAGGATATTCTGGAATTGTAAAAGTGCCTAAAACATGTTTTTTTGTGTTGGTGTTTTGTAATGCACAAGCAAAACACCTAGATGTTAAATGTTTGATTTTCCTAGATTTGTTTGCATAATAAAATGGAAATAGGGCTGCATTCATTTTTTCATAGCCTGCATGATTTAGGCTACGATGTGTATATGCTATTAGAGAACCTTCTAATAGATAAGGCAACTTGCAACATAATTTTAAAAATGTTTTCATGCTGTATATACAGTAGACCATACATAAGCTTGTAGATTGTGTTCTCCAGCTCAGCTTGCATATCGGGTTGAGTAATCAGGGTTTCCACAATATTTTTGTACTCAGCTTTTTGTAAATTAGCAATATTTTCATGAGATAGTGTGTCTTCTCATATCTTGACAGGATTAATTAATTTTCTACTTTTCTCTGCTGTTCTCTTTAAAGACAGCATTGAAACTATTTTTTTTTTGTCTTTTTTATCATATTCCAATAAATTCTGATTTGTTCCACAAAACATTTCCATTCAGCAATTGTATATTCTTTGTTCTCATCTATGTGTTTAAGCATGGCAGGAACCGGGTAACCATCAAAGGGGCAGCCTTTGGAAATTCCTATCATACAAGATAAAAGGGTTGCAGGAAAGTTGGATAGGCAAAGAGTCTTTCTACAATAATCCATAAATGACGTCAAACTCAATTTCATCCTTGGGATATTGGAGGCTCAGGCCTCATAGTTCTCATCCTCTAACCTCCAAGATTTTGGAAGGGTGCTTTTACCAGGGGTTTAAATTTTTCAAAATTGACTAATTTTGTCAAAATTCGTTTTTTAATGTTTTTTAAAATTCCAAGGTCAACGCCATGTTCTCCAGATAAGTCATTAGTCTATATAAAAAACAAGACATTTGTATATATTTTCCCTCTGGCAAGCCAAACGGCTGGACCAAATCGGCTGACATTTTTTGTGGACACTCATGGGTAGTCTTGGGGTGACATAGGCTTAAAAAATCGATTTCCCCCCTCTCAATTATTTTTAATTTTTTTTTCTTTTTCCACGGGCAACGCCGGTTCCTTCAGCTAGCATTACATATTACCTGACCAAATATTGGTGAAAATATCCCTGCTCGATGAAGGCTGACAACTGCATACATTTAGATTCCTCAACTGTCACCTTAAATAGAAGATATAAAACATCAAAAAAACTGTGTCGACAAAAAACGGGGTGGTACACTACAGTGTTGTATATTTTCTCAACAAATATTTTTTTCATGGTTTTTTTGAGGGAGAAAAATTTTTAATTTTCAGGGGAAAATGTGAATTTTTGGGGAGAAGTATTTAATAAAAAATGAAAAAGATTGTATAAAAGACGAAACATCAGAAATATTTTGAGCGATTGCAGAAACTATTGAATTCAAGGGACTGTAAGCGTAATTTCAATTGATACTGTGTGATTTACATCGGTTCCCTTGAAAACCTTTATCTGATCAATAAATTTAAAGATATTGTCGTTTTTCTAGTTTTAAAAGGGATTATGATAATTAATATATGTGTAATAAATATCGTAGTAAACCCCATACTTATAAAACTATTTACACCTAGAAATATTGTGTTGTACATTATAAATAACCTAACTACGCTTGTTAATAAATACGTAAAACCTATCGGTCCTTGTATTACGATTTAGGTTAATTACGTTTATTAATTAACCTGTGCCATGAAACTCAAAATGTACATTAGTTGGAATAATACTCTGCTTGATTACGGCATTAGAGTAATACATTCTCGTTAGCAAACAAGACGGGACTAAGTTGTATCTGAATTAATAGATATAGACTAGGAAGATACAGAGAGTACTGTATCTGGATTGATACATACTAAGGAATTACATTGAGGGAACTAGAGGGTTCATGAACAGTTTGTACCTCGGCGATACATTCTGAAGAATTCAATAGAGTTTCTGGATTGATACAAACTGAAGAATTTTGCGGGAACGAGAGAGTTTGAGAACACTTTGTACCTAGTTGATACAGACTGAGTAATTATTTTAGACCACGGACTTCTACAGAGGTTGTATTTTTTTTGATAGATATTGATGGATATGGAACTTTTATCCGGACTAATACTGACTTAAAGGGACTTATTGGGGTAAGGCATTCATACTTATAAGAATTTAGAAGGTTACCGTTGTACATTAGGCATTGCGATCTTTGCATTAGTGAANTGGGGGTATATTTACCTTCATTCCGTTTGGAGAAATAAAGAAATTTGCTCTCTCCTTGAAACTCAGTGACTTCAGCAGATTTGACAAGGGTTTAATATTTTCTGCATTGAAAAGAAATCAGAATGAAATTAAAAGAAATTTAAAATTAAATTTGAGAGAGAGCAAGTCACAAGATTAAATCAATACACTCTTTATCTTGCTAAACCTGTTACTAGACTAGAGATTTGGAAGAATTTTTTCTCAACAGTTTAAACAACTGTATGATAAAAATTATTGAGAATGGAGTGGCTGCTGAGTTGAGAAAAACTGAATCTACATCTAATCTATAGCAGACCACACATGAATAAATCAAGATATTCTCAACATTCTTAGATGGAAGATGGAGAATTACCTCTCAAGTAAAAAGTAGGTAATGCTATTAGAACTATTAGAAAAGAAATCTGAAAAAGAGGTCCCGTTATGAACCCCCCAGACCGCCGGCAGGCATGGGAAGCACCGTCCCACACCTACTCTAACTGGACCTTTATACCCACAACAATTAGACCATTGTCAGAAGATAAAAAGGTGATACTATCCAGCCAGTGGCTCATCAATTAACTCCATTGGATGGTTAGTATCAAACAACCCTTTAGGCGAAGAAAAGAGGTTACCCGCATTTAAGATGTTGCTGACAAATCCATCCACCGCTCCAGCAGTAAGCTTATCTTTTTGGTGCTATCAACATTATATTCATACCAAGTCTCTTTCAAATTGGCATAATGTGTTAATTGTAACTTTAATTTAACTGTATTCTTTCTATAAATTCTTTTTTTCCTAATTTCGCAACGAAGGCGTAGAGTGAATCAGATTCAGCATCATCCATTGTTAACTGTAAGCAAAACATGTTTTAAGATTGATTTATGATGTTACCATAAAGTTAACTAGTATTAATATTAATTTTAAAACTAAAAATCGTAATTATGTACGAAATTGATAAAAGGGGGGGGGGGTAAGAAGCAGGGTCCAAAAGGTTAATTAGTCCAACTCGTCCAACAGAACGTAAAATTAATTATATGTTTTATTTTTACTTAATTACCACTACTTGGGAACGAATTAAGGTGTACATTTAAACAATTGTACTGCCCCCTCAGTCACAGAGGAATTTCCTTTGATAATTAAATTATATAAAATAAATAATTCAAAATTTTGCGTTCAGTTTCTCCCGAAAACTTTTTAAATAAAGAGCGGAATGTTAGCCGCGCTCAATTATCAAGAGATCGTCTTTGACTTTGATTTACTTCTAAATTTATATTTATCATTGGAACTACAAAACATCGGGGAATATTTTTATTTGAACAAATATCTGTTTAAAATAACAAAGATGTTTAAAATCTATTATTGTTTGAATTTTTATGCAGACTTTAAAAAATATTGCAATGTAGACCCGATTCAACAGTAGTTCAGTTTGCACAATGCACATTTGCCGCGATGAATTAATTAAAAAGATTTTAGAAAAAATAACATTTCCAGGATCGAGGCCCCCTATTCTGTCTTAGCCGCAGCAGTCGGCCTAGAGTGGGGTGATTTACTAGAGATTGTTTTTTGAACCTCCCACGCTAAATGGTTAACGGACATGGTCCCTTAGGCGCGCTGTCCTAGTCTCGGCGCTCGACCTCCATAGTCTTCCCTAGCTGCAGCGCTCGGCTCTGAAATTGTCTTATCCTAATCTAACCTTGTAAAAATTACTTATGTACTTTCTTTAAATTAATGATATTTTCAGAGATAAAAATGGCGGAAGGATTTGACTTTGATGGAAGGAATGATTGGAGAAGTGTTGGGAAAGTTCTTAGTCAACCAGAGATACATAATAATGATGGAGAAGAAGAAGAAGAAGAAGAAAGTGAGGATGAAGAAGAGGAAGATGTAAGAAACCCATTTGTTATGGCTGAAAGAGCTCACAATTCCTACGTTAAGGCTCTGGCAACTCAAACGGAATTGGAAGAAATTGCGTCATCGAAGGAACGAAAGCGTAGGAGAAAACTCACTAAAGCAAAGATGAAAGAAAAATTGATTGCAAAAGCAAAGCGACGAAAGCAAAGAGAAAGAGACGAATGGGAAAATGCGTACACCAGTGATTTGAGTTTGACTCAAACTGACGATCCAGACAATGAATTGTACGCACAGCCCGAGTCAACGGACAATGCGTACATTATGTCTGGAGGAGGACACAGTATATTTTCCGATTTAAATGACGACGCACCTTCAGTTGTTCCGATTAAAATAAGAAAAGGTTTGTAAATTTAGTAGTTAAGATTCGTGTGCATAATGATGTAGAGACTTAATTTTTTTGTACTTTCAAGGAAGAGGGCAGTTTACATCTATGAACAATTCAAACTGATTAATATTGTCTTTAAAAAATCTAAAAAGTTAAATTATCATTCAAAATGTCTGATTGTTATTATTTTTCAGTACGGAAAAAGAAAACAATTTCTTCTGACAAGAGAATCCTGGAATGTGATGAATGCGATTATGTTGCAGCGAAACATTCATATTTAAAAAGACACAAGGAAAGTAAGCATGAAGGAGTGCGGTATCAATGTGAACAGTGTGATGTATCCACAACCACGAAGGGAGATTTATCTCGTCATAGACGAAGTAAACACGAAGGAATCAAGTATCCATGTGATCAGTGTGCATATTCTGCAACAACCAGCTCTGATCTGAAACAGCACAAAGATGCCAAGCATGAAGGATTAAGGTAGTCAAAGGAACTGTCAAAATAATTAAATCCGAATTTTTATCTGAAATTTATCTTTGAAAATTCAATTATCTAAGAAAAACAATTCCCTTTCGATTTTACTTATGGTTTTAACGTGAAAATGCATGATAATTTATAAGTTATAAAAACAAAACATTTTCCCAATTCTTTAACCCCTTAAATATGAATAACTAAATGTAAAATAATATATATTGAATTGAATTGTAATTTTCTCATCATAAATCCGGAAGTCACTTTTGCGGAGAAACCACAATTGAAATTGATTGATTTTCGAATAGGAATGAAAGGATTTCTTATTCTTTGTTAAAGGTTTTAAAGGAGCCATTGCGTATCGTCGACGAAACAGTTTTTGAATGAAGGGTTACTTGAAATTACGTCTGAAAAGTTGGCATTGTGTGTTTTAAATTGACTCTAAATGTATGCCACTCTTTAAAATTAAAAGTTTGTTCATTTTTATTTTTCAGGTATCCATGTGATCTTTGCAACTATTTAGCAAGTAAACAATCTCATCTCAAGCGACACAAAGACAGTATCCACTTGGGAATCAAAGGTCCAATTAAGCATCACTGTGATCAGTGTGAATATGCAGCACGGGATCGATCAAATCTAAAGAGACATATTGAGAGTAAGCATGAAGGTATAATGTATCCCTGTGATCAATGTGAGCATACAGCCACCTCCTTGGGAAACCTGAAAAAGCACAGAGAAATTAAACACGAAGGGATTATTTATCCTTGTGATCAGTGTGAGTATAATGCAACCGAAGCCAGAGCTCTAAGAAAGCACAGAGAAGCTAAACATAAAGATTTAGAACCTGAAGAATCTCCTTACATTTAAAACACTTCTTATCAAAACCCTTTTTAGACTAGACTAACAATTTGCATTTTTGTTTTCTTTATAAGATAGTTTTTTTTTGATGAATGAAACAATTTTCTAAGATTTCAAGACTTTCAGCGGATTATTAAAAAATAATTTTATAACTGAATTTTTTAATTGTGATTGAAATATTAGCATTTCTGAATAAAGAAATATTGTGATTCTATATTAAATATTTATTTTTTTTCTCGTTAAAATTCTAATATTTAATACTATGTGTATAAAAGAAAATAATGATACATTTTTATGATATGCAATACGATCTTTAAAAATATATTAAGTTTGTTGAATGTTGATAAAAACTGTTATTAAAGGATTTTGAAATACTTTTTAAGGTGCCCTCATTTTATTGCGTTCCATTAATTAATTCCATTGTGAATTATAAACGACACACTTGAAATAGAGGGTCACTTAAAATTACGTTTACAGCCCCTTTAAAATGATAGTTTCCAAAAATGTTATTGAATTATTATTTGACGTATTTTCAGATGAAAATGGTTGAAACTGCAACACTACTGCAGAATAATAAAATTGAAAATGAGAAGATGAATGCTGCGGATCAGACTAAGGCAGGGGGGCAAAATATTAAACAATTTATCTGAAATAATTATAGGCGAATATTTAGGGTTCTCTTTCTTAATTTTAATTCTACTAGGCTTCTTCTATTTAAATTGTGAACATGTTCTTTTTGTTTACATTTTAAAACAACGAAAAATTTTTTTTGAGGTTTAAAAAAAAATTCGCAGATTTTCAAGAATTTAATTTTTTTACAAAATTAAGCCCTTTAAAACACATTTTTTAAAATTTTTATCATGCATAAACCTTCCCTGGGGTCACGCGAGGTCCCACAAAAAAATTGGACCCGATCGGTTCAGCCGTTTTGACTTTTATTGGATACAAACAGACAAGCCAAATTTATATATAGATGGAACAGAGACATGAAAGAAAGTCAAATAAGTGAGCAAAATTTTGGCTTCCTAATTCCGGATACAAGGGGCAAGATTTTAACCAAAAACTGTAAAAAAAAAGTTCAACCCATATCTGATCTGTTGAAAAAATGACAGATTATTAAAAATTTCTTGATCTCTAAACTGTTTATCAAGGCTTGGCATTAAATTAAGCAAAAAAAAGAAAAACTATTTGAATCTTCTTTTTTTTTAGCTTAAAAAAAATCTGTAAATCTTATGGAAATGTTATGACCTAAATCCGGATTAGGATTGTAAATATTTAGATTTTAAGAACTTAAATCTCAGCTGAAATCTCTAATATGATGGATATCGCTTAATCTCAATCTTTTGTTAATCTGCAGATTAATCAAATCTTTATTCGATATCCCGTATAGTTATCAACCCAGTCAGGAGTTGGTGGGAGCTTTGATCAGGGGAGAAATAACTGAAATGAAGAGAAAGCATGGATAGAAATTACCCACATTGGATATCGAGATCAAGCGACCGCACAATGAGTATCCCACAAAAGTTCCCAAATTTAACATTTTTTTTCTTCCCCTTGTTGAATTAATATTTCTTCACAAAATCTAATATTTTCCTCAAAAGATATAAAAAGTTTTTAAAAAAATCGTTTGAAAAAAGAAATATTTTAAAGATGGAGGAATGATTATTATTAATCCCCCATGTGCTATTGAGGAGGATGAAGAGAGGATAGTAAAACTGGAGTTGTCTACTGAAGAAGATGTCGGAATATCCTGTTACCTCAACAAACAAAATCAAGGAAGACAACTTGGAAAAATTGTTTCATTTTTATGGCTTTTTTTCTCTAAAAATATTGAACTTGTTTCATTTTTATGGGTTTTTTCTCTAAAAATATTGAACTTGTTTCATTTTATGGGTTTTTTCTCTAAAAATATTGAACTTGTTTCATTTTATGGTTTTTTTTCTCTAAAAATATTGAACTTATTTCATTTTATGGTTTTTTTCTCTAAAAATATTGAACTTTTTTAATTTTTATGGGTTTTTTTCTCCAAAAATATTGAACTTGTTTCATTTTATGGTTTTTTTCTCTAAAAATATTGAACTTGTTTCTTTTTTTTCTCTAAAAATGTTGAACTTATTTCATTTTTATGGTTTTTTTTTTCTCTAAAAATATTGAACTTGTTTCATTTTTAAGTTTTTTTTTCTAAAAATATTGAACTTGTTTCATTTTTATGGTTTTTTTTCTCTAAAAATATTGAACTCCAGAACTTTCATGCTTAAATACAATTTATTCCAATAAAAGCGTTGATAATCGACTTTTAAATCATATTGATATGTACCTCATTTTTTGTAATCTATAATGCAGCCGAGATCAACCTGAACTAGTGCTTGAGATGTAGTTGAACTAGTCGTATTTTGTTCAAGTTTTTCTCGCCATTTATTAATTCTGATCTCCGATTTTCTTTTGGTTAAACTTTTATTAAAAATTTTACTTGTTGTTCTGTAGGATTTTCTGGAAAAATTAAGGAAATCTTTAAGTTTCAAGTCTGCCAATTAAAAATGAAGGAGGGGGGATTGGTCAGTCTAAGTGATTCTCTCAGGGACAATCATATTCATTAAATAGTCAAATACCTAAATCTTGAAGATTATATATTGTATGTGTAAAGAAAATCCGCAATTGTTACTGTCAAAATGTGCAATTTTTTTCATAAAACCTTTTCCATCTTGAACAGGACTGATCATATTTCAATCATAATGGAAGTAGTTAGACAATGACATGCTAAAGTTATCATTATGATCCCTTTTTAGCAGAGATAATGTTTTCGGGAGCAAAGTTTTAACTGGGATTGTTATTTAAAGCGGAGCATGGCCTATTTAAATGGTACCCTTAACACCTTTAATAAATGAATAAAGTTGAAGATATCGTCGTATTTCTAGCTTTAAAAGTGTTTAATTCTCATAATTTTCCCCAGTTGTTTCTGCATTAGAAGTTTGCTAGTCACATTTGTAATGAATCACTATTGAAAAAGAGAAACATTGATAATTTATTAATACTTGATCAGACAAAGGTTTTAATGATACCGTTGTGAATCGGACTTTCCAATTTATAAATGTTATTGCCCACACTTGAAATTATATCTGCAGTCCCTTAAAGGGACTGTAAAGGAAAAATGAAAGGGGGTATTATAGGCTGAAACCTAAGCACTTTAGCTCTTGATCGCGACCCATGAAAGTTTTATCTGATGTTCCTGTCTCGAGAGACTAATATAAAACTGTGTTAAAACTATACGAAAATTCATATATGTAAAATTTGGAAAATCTGAAACTTAAATCACGTGACCAGAACTATCACCAATGGCAGAGCAGTATACTGGTCACATGTCTCCGCCTGTATCACGTGACCACTTAACTGCACTGCCATTGGTGGAATTTCCAATTATCTACTGGTGTAGAAAACTCCATGTTGGAATGAAAAAAAAACTATATTTGTGAATCTTGACAAAAATATTTGCAGATTTTCTTTTTATAATAAATCCTTTCATATTTAAATAAATTAAATCTTTTAACAGACTAAAAATCCAAAAAATTGATGAAATCAACTTACTTCGGAGTTTACTAGCATGTAATTAACAGTTTGTAGGTAACAATTAACAAATAACAAATATCAATGATAATGATATGAATTGTTAAAAAGGATGGTGAAAGATGAAGAAGAGAAGAACCAAGGCCAGTTGTAAGTTTTTGATATCATAAATATTTTTTTATCCCCTTGACTTTTCTTAAACAGTTTTAATTAAAATGCTTTTAAAAATGTTCTTTTAATTGATAATTCTAAAAAATAATTTTTTATTTGTAATTGCCATAACTTAGATTTATATGTATTAAAATATTCTTAAGGGTGTACATTTGATGAGTTTTTTAAATTACTAAATTCTTTTCTTAATAAAGAAAAAAAGAAAACGTCAATATCTCATATGTTGATATTTTGCAAATATAACTCCACTGCTGGATAATCATAAACCTCTCAATATAATTAAATTCAAGAAATTCTATTGCAAACATTTTGATCGAATTCTTTCAGCAGAATATAATTTTTTTATCCAAATCTAAGAGAAAGAATTACAAAGTGCCTATAATAAAAAAAAGGATCCAGAACAAAATTTTCGCTTTTAACGCCCAAATTTAAACTGTTGAAAAAAGAAAGATTTTAAAAAAAATATTCAAATCTCTTACTGGCTCATGAATTTAAACATACAAATAAGCAAAAAAAGAAAAAACGTGAAAACTCTACTGTTGCTAAAAAAATCAGTAAATTTCATGGCGGTCCATGATGTAATTACGGTCCATGATGATTTTTCAGATTGATAGAGAATCAGTATTCAGATCTTTCGGAAGTAAAACGAGAAGTTATAAATGAAGATCAGTTTAAACAGCTTCAAGCACTCAGGAATATTTTTTAATAACAAGCTCTTTTACACTGCTTAAAATTACAATTGTAAGGGGGGGGGATCATTGACCTGGAGAAATTTTTTATATTGGCAACAACCTGGCCAGAGGCCGAATTTAAAGATTTTGAGCCGCGGCTTTAATTGAAGCTGCGGCTCAAATATGGCTGGTTCCACTTAAAATCGTATTTAATGTTTCAATATTTAAGCCGGCGCTCAATTAAAACAGGTTTTAGGGGATTTGAGACACGGCTCAAATTCATTAAATTCCGACTTTTTTTACCGCCCTTTTTTGATATTTTTTTGAAAAATATAATTTTCCCCCTTAAACTTTATTCTCTTGTATTCAGCAACCAATAATTTCATTTTATTTCCCCAAAATGTTAAAAAAGTGTTCTCTTAAAAACGATTGTTTGTGCAGTAGAGAAGATGATTACAGTGTGATTGTTGAGATACCAGTTGATGATATTAGGAACTGAAGCATTTTCAAAATTCACATAATTGCTTTTTCATTTTTTTTAGTTTTTACTTTAATTTTCATAGATTCGTTATGCACATGAGGATCATTAATTTTACCCGACCAACTGGCAGTATCTTTCCGCATAATACACAATAGTGTGCCGGGGATCAGGAGCGCTAGTCCTGATGGCGGTATGGGCTCTCCAAGATGGAGGGGGGGGGGGGGTTCAGATCCTTATCTTAACTTATAGTGTGTCCCAATGAACATGGATAATGATACGATGGAGGGTAGTCAAATCATCAGGATATCCGTCCCTTCGAGGATATCTTTTATTTTTTTTAAATATATAAAATTGATTTCTGATCTATTTTTAAATGCAAGTTTATAGCAAGGAAGGAAGGAAACTGATACACGACATTGCAAAAAGGGAAGTTAATGATTTTTAAAAAATCTTATGTGTTATTGCTGAAGAATTTTTATTTTCTTTCCCTAGTGTCTCAATCTATATCTAATGTTTTTGGTTATTGCTTATTTAAAAATCCTTGGTAAGTCGTTTTTCATGGTTTTGTCCTTGCACTTTGTCCTTGGCCTTGTTTATGTCCTTGGACTTGTTGTTTTCCTTAGTGTTGTTCTTGTACTTGATCTTGTTCTTGCAGACGGAACATTGGTCAGTCTAAGTGATTCTCTCAGGGACAATCATATTCATTAAATAGTCAAATACCTAAATCTTGAAGATTATATATTGTATGTGTAAAGAAAATCCGCAATTGTTACTGTCAAAATGTGNCCCCCCACTAAGTCAAGAATACGAGAGGTCTAAAATCGTTGTTTTGGAGGCCTTCGGCTAAGTAGTTTTCCCATCCATTTAATCATCCTCCCGTAATCTCCCGGCTAAGGAGTTATTAAAAGTTATAACTTTTCGTTAGGATTTGAAAAAGCAGGAGCGGGGAAGACCAAAAGAGGAAAAGTTTCTTCACTTCTCACTTTACAAGGAATTCAATCAATTCAAAATTGAATCGATCTTTGACTTTTTGGGATAAAATTTTTTGAACTAAATAATAATCATTAAAATTTAGATTTTTAATTAGACAAAAGTTTTGGTAGGGTTGCACTTACCAGCGAACAAAAAAAACTTCTTTGTGAACACTTCTTTTTAAGTTTCTTTTAGTAATACATGATTGATTGATTGATTGATTGATTGATTGATCGATCGATAGGAGAATATGGGAACCTCAGAGTGTATTTCTAAACTTGCCAGGGTAATTATAACAAGCAGGGGTGTAAANAAAGGATATTTATTAGTAGTTTTTAATAAGTTCCACTGATGGTTTTCTGGGTTTGATAAAGTATAATTCTTAAATTATCAAAGTATTCAAGATAAATCTATAGAATAAAGCTCTTCGCTCATATAATATATTTGTATGTTAGCTATAGCCTGCCAGTGAGCTGAACCAAATTGGCTTAAAATTTTTAGGAACCCCCTTGGTAGCCTGGAGTAACAAAAGCTAAAAAAGATTTTTTTCATAACTCGAATTTTTTTTTCACAGGTACTTCAGCTGGTAGTTATTATTATTATTATTATAAATATTTTTTTAAATTATTAATTATAACTATTCTGATTTCAGAACTTGAGATCTAAAGATAGGTTTTTCAGCTTTGCAGGCACTAAGGTAACAATGTTATTGTTAATGTTTACCCCTTCCAGATAACAAGCTTTTAGGGGAAATTTCAAAAATATATAACGATTTGTGTACCCCTCTACATTTAACGGGGTTGTAATGGAACATTAAACAAGTTTTCCATTATAAAAAAAAGATTGGTCATTGAGTAAAGTATTTGTTTTCTAAAACCAAATTATGGGGTGCGATAGATTAGATCGACAATTGGTATTCTAAGAATTTTGCCTAGTGAAGTAAGTAAAGGAATATAATTCGGGGAGGATTTTTAGCCAAATATCTTATCCAGAAACCTTTCATACAATGTTCCAGGACAAACGAGGCCGAACTTTGCAGAGAGTTGCTGTTTCTCTTATTAAACCGGAAGCTCTACAAGGTATAAAATAAATAAAAAGCAAAAATTCTCAAACTTACTTCAAGGACCATGAATGCAAGGATGGCAATTCTTGAACCTTTTCCTGATAGATAATATGAAATATATTGACGTTTTTAAATTCAACAAAGTTTATATGGGTACTATTGTGAATCGGGCATTGCCATCTTTGCATTGAGGGTCTCTTAAAGTTACGCTTACAGTCCCTTTCAGTCCCAAACTCACTTCACCTAAGTGTGTCAGTTTCTATGAAAAACTTACTAATCCAGTAATCAATCAATTTACCCATGAACCAATTACTTATGTACTGGATATCTTACTAATCTATTAATCAATCAATCAATCAAACATAATAACTAATTACCTACGTACTGGAGAACTTACTGATCTAGTAATCAATTAAGCAAGCAATTAATCAACAAACCTATTAACCAATTACCTACGTATTTGAGAACTTACTGATCTAGTAATCAATCAAGCAAGCAAGCAATCAATCAACCGATGAACCAATAACTTACGTTCTTGAGAACTTACTAATCTAGTAATCAATCAATCAATTAATCAATCCATGAACCAATTACTTACTTACTTGAGAACTTACTTATCTAATAATCAATCAATCATTCAACCCAAGAACCAATTACTTGCGTACTTAACAACTTAATAATTTAGTAATCAATTAATTAATTAAGAAATCAATAAAGAAGTCAATCAATTAATCAACCAATAAATCACTCAACAAATTACTTACGTACTTGAGAACTTGCTAATCTAGTAATCAGTCAACCTATTCATCAATTACTTGTGAACTTACTAATAACGTGATTAATCAATTAAACAATCAACTATGTTCTCTAAGATGCTGCTGAGAGGTTGAACAAGGAGAGGGGAGGAGGAGTAGCTGTCGGTCATTTCACATACCATCCACAAGGTTTTTTTTCTTTCTTTCTCTTTTTAAAATTTTTTTTAAATAGTCTTTTCTTTTTGTTTCTTTGTCCTTCTATCAATCTTTTTTTAAAATTTGGTTTTCTCTTTCTATCTGTCTGTCTTTCTTTCTTTCATGCGATTGATTGGCTTTTAATTGTTTAATGAGACTGTAGACTAAATTTCAGGTGACCCTAAGTTTAATTGAACCCTTCCAATTTTTCTTTGAATATCAATATGGAACATAGCTGTGTTTTTTCTACTTTCATTGTGCTAAATTCGGACATTTTTCTTCATTGTTTCTGCAGTATAAATCTGAAAATCACTTTAAAGGAGAACCCACAGTGAAAAGAAATCTATTTTCATTGAAGAATAACAAGGATATCTCATTCATCCTGTGTTAGAAACAAGTTTAAAGGGCACTGTTACAATTTGAAAATGCCACTCAATAAACGGAGAAACACTTGAAAATATGTCTACAGACCCTTTAACGTACTGCAGGATTGAGACTAGGAGACCTTCATTGTATTTCAACCTACAGGTCGTTGTACTTTGTCTGTAGGTTGATTTTTAATAATAGTAATAATAATAATAACGTACTGCAGGATTGAGACTAGGAGACCTTCAAGGAAACCGGTTTAGAATGGTTGTAAGAAATATCGAAAACACTGCTACTGAACTATCCATTAGGAAAGAACAGAAAATATAAAAATTTAACTTTTTATTTAATTTTCCCTAATTAAAGCACCTTTTAAAATTGACCCCATATGCAATATTTTTCAAATGTCTACCCACCCTTGATATTTTTATTTTCTTATAGATCTGCCATGGAGTACTTATTTTTATTTTCTTACAGATCTACCATGGAGTACTTATTTTTATTTTCTTACAGATCTACCATGGAGTACTTATTTTTATTTTCTTAGATCTTCCATGGAGTACTTTACTGATCATGGTTTTATCAATTACTACGGAATGCAGGAAAGCTTTTTAATTACATTATTTTTTCAGGCATTCATGTCACTTTTTCTTAATTCTATCCTTTAAAGGTTATTGTGCAATAATTTTTATCTTGTACAATATTTTATTTATAATAATTTATTATTTTTAATTTTTTAATTTTATAAATTGGAGACAGTTGATACAGAAAAATACTGATTTGCTTCATCTTCTTGTCATCTGTTGCCTGTCCCTTGTTCTGATAATTTTGAAAAAAAGGAAAATTTGTGGAAACCAATTTTTGGGACACTCTTTTTATTTATTTGAGTGTATGATATGTATATCTTCAGTTTTCTTGTTGACTCAGTTAGCAAATTTATTGCGGTAAAATAGGAATGTCTGAGCTTGCACAGTTGATGCTGATTTCAGCTCAGGCGGGTGGGTTCTAAGGGGGGCCAGGTGGAAAAAAGGTTACAGCAATTGCTGCTTTGAGTTCTTTCATTCTGTACTCTGAGTTTTGTGTCCAAATCCTAGTTCCACCTAGTGGTCTTAAAGATTTTCTGTTTTCTACGATGAATTTCTTTTAAAAAATCAAGATGAGTTTTGACTTAACCAAAATCTTACAGGGGTCATATTAGGTCTGAATAATATGGGCCCGAAAATATTGTAGAATGTACAAGAGAAAATATTCATGTTAAAAATAATTTTTTTTAATCGATAAATTGCTTCTGCAGAGGTTTGGAACATCGGAAATATCAACACACAAGGAATTAAAACATAAGTTATTTGTTAAACAAAATTATTTTAACTTTATATTCTTAGTACTATCATAAGTTTACTGAGCTGACAACTTTAAATGGTGGATATCGAGATCAATGCTAGATCCTCTCTTTTTCTAATCTCCAGACTAATTTAGTCTTTAGTTTTATTTCTAGAGATTAGAGATGCGCTCTTTAACTTTTGAAAAACAGGTTTTTAATTTTTCGGCATTTGTGGTGTCATATCAATTTGAACTAATGATCAATTGAACAAACGTAAGTTTTGGATTAATGCTCATCAAGACTAACGTCCAAAATGACTACAGTCCTCAAATATGATAAATATGTTTTTGATGAATTAATATTAACATGATTAAATTTGTATTTGTTATAATGCTTTAAAAGCCGGATTGTGAACAGCCGACCTTAGTTCAATCGGGTATTAGTCCAGTCGATGTAGCATCGTATCTGTAATTGTTATCAAACATAACTTTCTTACAGTTGGGGTATCCAAAAGAGAGGATTAAAAAGAAAGTTAAAAGTGTGTACATTGAATACTAATATTAAGCAATCGGTATTAAGGATATCCCATTCTTAAGTTTTCAGCTCTGAATACATTTCAAAAGAACTTTCGCGTTGTTTTAAGCAACCCTTCATTTAAAAAATAGCATATAGGGGATTCACAACAGTGCCCTTTAAACCTTCTTGCTTAGGCAAAAATAAAAGAAACTTGCAGATTTGTGAAGCAAAGACAAGGAAAGAAGTTGGCAGGTTTCAATACGACAGTGTCTTCCTTATTGTTGCTCAACTAAATTTGCAAAGGCTACTATTGTGAATGGGGCATGTAGTTCTTTTTATTTAGAGCTCACTTGAAATAACGCAGATTAATGCTTGATCTCGATCTTTTGTTAAACTGCTGATTAATCTAATCTTTATTTGATATCCCGCATGTTAATTATACTCAGAAAGGGTTGAAGGGAGCTTTGATCAGGGGAGGAGTAACTGAAATAAAGAAACTATAAGCATGAATTCTAAAATTAAATGGGCCCACAGTTGATATCGAGATTAAGCAATCTGGATTATAAGTTTCTAACACAAAATAATATTTATGTTTTTATTCAATGATAAGATTGGTCTGGCAATATTAAAGAATGATTTCCAAGGGGCCATTGATCTAATCCTTGCTCCCCGTCCCAGCCAATACCATGATCTAAGGTATCTAACTTTTAATAAATAACCTAATGTGACTGTTAAGGTAAAATTAAAGGGGTTAAGGGTAGGAGTTTGAGTAAGGCGTTTATCTTTCTGATGTCGTCGTCTTGAGAAAATTAATATATTACAGTGTCCAAGTTATACAACAACCATATTTGAGCCCTGTCTCAAATTTAAGCCCCAGCTCAAATTCTTTAAATTCGGCCTCAGATCATATTCTGCAAATACGGAACAAATCTGAATAATACGATAACCCAGAGGTGCCTAGAAATGTTAGAGACGCTCCTAATATAATTTGAATGTTTTAATTTGTCATTTATAGGTTTCTTTAAAATTATACAATGTTCTTCTGACGACTTTTGGCCGCTAGGTGTCTATGCCAAGCAAAATCCTTGAAATATCAAGAGCAGAGACAACAAGCGGTGTCCATAAGTTCCTGATTTGATTTGATTTGATTTAAGGTTTGTTCTGACAAGTTATGCAAAAGAGAAGAATGCTAAAGAAGCCTTTAACTCCCTGAGTTACCGTCTCAAGGGATCAGTTGAGGGAAAACTACTCTCAGGCCTGGCTCATGCTCATCAGAATGATAAGGTTTGTATTTGTAAGATTAAAGAGGGAGTGCTGGAGACATAAATTTTTCTTATTATTTCTCAGCTCACAGAATTAAAGTTCCCGTATTGAACAAAGCAGATCTGAGATGTAAGGCTGGACAAAGTTATATTAATGAACAACAAAAACCATTAATATTGAAATATTTAATGAACAGAAATAGCTGTTTAAAAAAAATTGTTTTATAAGAAAAGGGTTGTGTCTAAAATAAATAATGGCCATTTTAACTAACCGTTAATGAATGGCTTGAAAAAAAAATATGATCATGTCCAGTCCTTCTGAGATGGCCCATTTTTCCATTTCATATTTCTCATGCACATGGTTAAATATTAGATCTTATAAGTTTTTGTTCTCATAGAGAGAGAATTATTTTTATTTAAATGATTTTCCATCTTAAATAGTGTTAATGAGGTTCCTTTAAAACCTTCATCTAAACATGAATTCAAATCAGAATTTTATGGAATATATAGATTTACAAATTTATGAAAAATTAAGAAAAAATATGCGATATGGATTATTACTCATTTCATAACATGTCTTTAATTTCAGAAATGCATTATCATATCCTTCAACATTCGAATTGTTATGTCTTGTATTTATTATCAATATTATTATCAAAGGACAGCCCATCATTCAATGAAATAGGGGTTGGCGATCCTAGCTGCCAATATCCATTGGCTGACTGGACCGCATCACCCTAGGCTTATACTAGGCGATCTACTCAAGACAGCCCTATTGCTGGAGACTCCCTAAGTACCAGGCGGTCGTTCAAGACAATTCCAACTCTGAGAACTCTCAAAAAAACATGTGGTCTGCCCAAGACAGTTTCATTCCTGGAAACTCTCGGAAATACAGGCTGTCTGCCCAAGACAGTTTCATTACGGGAAACTCTATGAAAATCAGGTGGTCTGCCCAAGGCATTCCTGGCAACTCTCTAAAATCCAGGCAGTCTGCCCAAGACAGTTCCAACTCCTGTGAACTCTCTAAAAGCCAGGTGGTCTGCCCAAGGAGGGAGGGAGTCCAGAGTTCCTCAATAGTAATCACCGCCACCCAAATCTGTTTTGCGGCAAGCGCTCTCCTCAATTGGTATTCTCCACCATCTCAATTAGTAATCACCGTAAAATTTTGCTTTCTGTGATTTGAATTTAATGCACTTTTAACACAATTTTCGACATCTATCAGGGTTTTATGGCATCTGTATTGACTTAAACTAAATTTTCAAATTATTTTCAGATTTGTTTTGTCAACAAAAACTGAGATTTAAGGCACAGTTCATTTTAGCCGAATCTTAGATCCAATTAGCCACTTTAATGACTGCATTTCATGATTGGCGTCAATATACTAAAAGGTCAGGCTGCCTGTTTACTAAAAATTATCTCATCCCACGCAAAGTAATATTCATCTCCATTTAAAAGATATTTTCAAAAAACCTTTACAGTGTTTAGATTTTTGTAATTGCCAACTCGAGTTCAACATCTACAACAAAACTAATTATACGCATAGAAAGTACTTAAAATTTACTAAAAATTATCTCATCCCACGTAAAGTAATATCCATCTCCATTTAAAAGATATTTTCAAAAAACCTTTACAGTGTTTAGATTTTTGTATTTGCCTACTCAAGTTCAACATCTACTAATAGAAAGAACATAAAATTTTGAAAAATTAGTCTCATCACACCCACTACTAAAAATGAAGTATTTAGTCCACTAATAATGGGTTAAAGTTTCCTCTCTATATAAGGAGTTTAAAACAACATTCAGAGGAAAATGCCTCAAACATTCTTAAAGCAAAACTTGAAACTAAAAAACGTAATATATTTCTAGTACTTAGTGTGGCATATTTATTGATTTATTTTCGAAACTATGGAGCAATAAAGAAAGCTTTAACAATATTGTACACCATAGGGCCATTAAAAGAGGTCAATATGGTCTTATTTCTAAGAAATTAACGATTTAATGTTATGCTTTTTTGGGCTGATTACTATTTGAGGTGGTGGAGATTACCAATTGAGGAGCGCGCTTTCCACAAAACAGATTTGGGTGGCGGTGATTACTATTTGAGGAACTCTGGACTTCCTCCCTCTCCCTCAAGACAGCTCCATTTCTGGGAACTCTCTAATTACCATGCGATTTGCTCAATTAAACATATTACCTTTCTTAGTTATTCATGAATCTTGACAAGCCAGGCCTTCAGAATTATAGCCATTGGTTTACCCCAGTCCAGCAGCTGCATTATATCTACTCCATCTCCTCCAAGGTACAACCGGAGAACAGCCGGAGAGCAGCTTGTACTGGGTTATACCAAGGTCGCTGTCTTTGTCTGTATACAGCTGGACAGTTAAACAAGACATGTGACTTGTAAAGTGCTGTCCTTTTCTGTTGTACTAATGTGCAGTGCGGGCAATATATTGTACCTCGGACCATACCGGTTCTTGGACTGGTTCCCCAACAGAGTATTCCTTGCTCTCACAAAATACAGTGTCCTGCTTTAAAAGGACGCTGTCATGTGACTGTAACTTGAACCAGCTCTTGGGTTAAGGTACAACCACCATTGGGGTATGCTCAAACTTCAGCCATAATATGGCAAACTGAGCAATCCCTTCATGTGAACTGTAGTTTGTTATGATTCTAACTTCAAATTCTATCCTCATTTTTCCACCTCCATTTTTGTCATCATAACTTCGTTCTCGGTAGTATTGAGTCCAGGAACTGAAAATGCTCAAATCATTGTTTGCACCAAACCAGAAGTGGGTTTCATCCACAAGTCTATTTGCTCCCCATCCATTATTTCTGCAATCTGCTGCTGCTTTAGAACACACCCCAGACCATTGCTATTCCAGTAGCATATTTTTGGTGGAGTTGCTTTCTCTTGCACAACCTTGTTTCTTCTCATCCTTTATGCCTTTGCCCTGGCGGCACTACGGTTTCTCATAGTTTTTGGGGTTCACCAACTGCTTAAGTTGTTATTTGAGCAATGCACAATGCAAATACATAGCAAACTTTTACTAAAGGTTTTTCATCCTTACACTGCAATTATATCATAGTTTTTTTACTGTTCACTAATGTTACTATAATCTCTTAACAGTTCTTGTAAAATTGGAACCTTTCATGGATGCTCCAATGTGACATCAAATCATTTTATCTGTTACTCAACTAATGTTTAGGTTAATGCTCTGAAAGGGATCCCTGTTGGTATTAGACAAATGTACGGACATGCTTACCAATCCTACATTTGGAACAGGTAAATCAAGGTTTTCTTCTGTATTTTTATTATGCTTCACCTTTACAATAGGACTATGACAGGAAATAATTGTTTATTTTTAATTGGTATTAGAATTTCAACTTAATCTCTAGTAACCTGGGCCTTTTTTTAACAACTAAACAATAAACAATGAAAAACCTCAAAATAGAGAACGCAAAGAAGAAAATATTTACAATATATTCCTGTTCAGACTGGTATCAAAGAGGCTGAGTACTATTGGTGAGAGTGTACTGGAGGGGGACTTGGTACTTGACCTGGAGAATCCCAAGGATCATGAGAACAGGGATTCAATATATATATAGTCAATCATTTATTATAATTATCATACTAGGGTGTATATATTTCAAGAAGTACCTTCTCCCCTTGGCGGGGGGTGGGGGGAAATAAAAAAATTTGACATCAAAAGTCAAGGTTTTTGTCTTTTTTGATCATTTTTCTTAAATATATAATTTTTCTCCCTAAAAATTGTTATATTTTCCCAAGTTCAGCGAATAAAGCTCTAAAAATCTTTTGCGTTCTGTGCTTAAACATACCTAGCTTCTTAGTGAAAGAGGGGATGGTGTTTAAAGGGATTGAAAGTGTAATTTCAAGAGACCCTCCTGCCTCCATGCAGAGATGACAATGCCTGATTTACAACAGTACCCTTGAAACTTGAATCTGACCATTAATGTGAAAGATTCCGTTGTTTTTCTCACTCAAAAGTATTTAATTCTGTGAGTTTCTCCATTAGCTTCTTCTCAAGGAGAAATGCACAAGTCAGTTTTCAGAGAAACCGCAAATGAAAATAAACAGTTTAAAGGAACAAAAACATTTGTAAATCGGACATTGCTATATTTAATTAAGCTGGGTCACTTAAAATTACGCTTACAGTCTCGGAAAAGGGGGAGGGTGTCCAGGGTAGTGTTATTCAACTCTTTTTACTTGACATTCAGGCGTTAACCTCGTTTCGGAGTTATTCAAAACATTTTTTTACATGTTAGCAGAAAAAGAGGGACTTAATTTTTTTATCTATTGAAAAGATTATCCTTGATATACTATCTAACAATCTTTTCCTAAAAAATAAGTCCGTCTTTTTCTCGTAGCATGTAAAAAAATGTTTTGAATTTGAAGTCGAAATGAGGTAAACCAATAAAAAGTCTAAAAATTTAGAAAGATTAGAAGTTCTTAATTCGTACTTCCGAAAGAATCTTTTTAAAATCTATTTTTAAATTAATGACAAACTTAAGTAGTCACTGAATTTTAGTATTTAATTCCATATAAGTGCGTATATATACAGGATTAATTCGGGAGGGGGGGGGGGATGCAAGTTAAAATGTATTTGTCTTGTGTTTCATGGTGAGAATGGACTAAATGAAGATATTCTGATAGTCTTTTTTAAATTTTTTTATGTTGATAATTTGATCTATGTTTTAATTGTAAAAAGGGCTTATTTACTCTAAAATAGGGCTTTGTCGCCGGCGTGTAACCTGTCCACCGTCTCCAAACTAAATCTTTGAAAATAAAAATTCTTTTAAAAAGTATAAACCTCCTTAAAAGTCATGATATTTGAAATATATTGAAATTATATTGAAGGATAAACTTGAAGTATGTAATTGATCCAAGCTTACATAAAATAGACGAGGTTTATATACCGCTACCAGGTAATATATTTCTTTCAGGGGGAACCATAATCATAATTTGGCCCAAGATCTGACACTTAGAATCACTTTGGGCACTGGGCAAGGTTTTAGAATAAAATCAATTAATTAAAAATTTAACAAAATTTATTTTTAATTTTTGAAGTGCTTTGAATCTTAGCCAAGATAAATCCTTTCTTAAGTTTAGTATATTTTAGATTTGACATTTATTTGAAATCTTTATAATTTATTTTTAAAATTCTAAGGTCACACCATAAAATTGCCTAAGAATGATACTGCTCAATGGATGATGGAAATTCTAAAGGTGTGTACAAAACTGTTTAATGTGTAATTATAATGAAAAATATTTCAGATTGACGGACAGCTTCCAGTTCTCACTACTTTAGTTCTAATTACTTTATTTGATTTTAAAAGGGACTATAAGCGTAATTTCAAGTGTTCTTTCATTAAAAGAGTGTTATGCCCGATTAACAATGGTACCCTTTAAACCTTTAACTGATCATGTCTGAAGACCCTCATTTAATAGAAGGTCACTTGAAATAATGCTTATTAATAATAATTTATTCAATAAGAATATTAACTATAAAGTCAGTGGTTGGTTTGCTATAGTTGACCTATTTTAAAGGAATAAATGAGAAAAATGTAATACCCCCCCCCCCCCTCCCTCCGTGGAAAATTTGCAAGTTGGTCGACAATTTGACAAAATTAATAAAGTTATTGATATATAAATCGACTAAATTAATAATGTATTGATTGATTGATTGATTGATTTTAGGAGGATGGTTTAGTCTTAGAGAACTTTAAGAACTCTACAAGAGAGTACGATCTGCCGGGAGAGTACAGGAAAATAATCACAAAGGTTTATATTTAACATGCTAAATTGTAAATATATATTTTCTTTTGGCATGTCTGGGTGAATTGCTGTTTGTTTACATCCAATAAATGTCAACACGGTTGAACCGATCGGGCCCAGACTTTTGTTTGAACTCGCATGACGCCAGGAAGGATTTTATTTTTGAAAGATGAAAAATAAACACAAACAAAATCCGCGAAAACTTTTGTTTATTATGCAGAAAAAAGGCGACTTCAACAGCAAATATTTGAATAATTCCTCTGAATATTATTCGTTCCTTTCCAATTTACCAACTAACCTTGGGTGTATACTGTGTATATTTAGAAGTAAACAGGAGTACATTTAAAAATTTAATTTCCCATTTTATTGCATTAAATCTCATGTAATTCAGAGATAAAACCCTGCGCCATGCGCAGATATTTCTGGAATTTTCTTGGAATGATTTTTATTAGAATAAAGCAACTATAAATGTCTGAACAATATCTTTAATTTCTTATGAAGGCTAGTGATCTATCTTGGAACCTGGTGAAGTATAATCAGCAGGAGGAGGATCTAGTATATTCTGATCTAGAACAAGCAACTAGTGATAATAAGAGTCCCAGGAATTCAGTCAATATTTTTACCTAAAAGGGTTATAGGGGCTCAGCCCCATCCCCCCTTTATCAGTGGAATCTATGGTTTTACAGAGGCCGAATTTAAAGAATTTAAACCGCGTTGCTGAACTGCTGATACCGGTTCCAATTGAGCGCCGGCTCAAGTCTCGAAACACATATTAAAAATTTCCAGCTGAACCAACCATGTTTGAACCACAGTTCATGTTCTTTGAATTCGGCCTTAGGTATTTTGTGGTTTTCTTTTACTCTGATCTAACAATTTTTTTATTAAAATTGCTCTCCTTATGTTGTCTTCTTAGTTATCATGATCGTATCATGTCCTTTTGTCAGTTTTAAAAGATCTCAACACCTCCGACTATTTGCTATTTAAAATATCAAAGACGACATTCAAGTCGTCTTTATACTGTCAAGTTTCGTGTGAAACCCTGTAGCATAATGAATTTTGCCAATTTAAACAAATGCTAGAAAAATAATAAATCTGAAAATAACTCTCTTTTTCTTTCTCTTAAATCTCTGTATTTTGTCAGTTAGTATTTTCTTTTTTGACGAGATTTTATCTTAAAAATATTGACTTAATCTGTTGACTCCAGAAAACTTGGTAAGTCTTTAGTTTTAATAATATAATTGAGTTTTAAAATAATACTTTTCTTCTTAAATATTTTGATTAAATGTTGTTGAAATTGTTTCATGTAATGTAAAAAAAAGAAACTTATAATAAATTACATCATGTAATGATGTATTATGTACAATGTACAAGTACATTGTACATTGAGACCCATATCACTGTGGAATAGGAATGAGGGGGGGGATTAAAAAATGTTTAGGGGAGGGGAAGCATCAAAAATGGTAAATAAAACTTTTAAATATTTCAACCCCTCCGCCATAAGGGGGGGGGGAATTGGGAATTGAACATATCTGTAAACCCCAAAGATTACATATAGGAGAGAATGCTTTTTGATGAGTGAGTAAGAATTTTAAAAACGCCCCTGATTTGGACAATTATATGGGGGGTACTTGCAGCTCTGATTTCCCTGATTTGGACAATTATATCTGGGTCCTGTAGCTCTGATTTCCCTGATTTGGACAATTATATGGGGGTACATGCAGCTCTGATTTCCCTGATTTGGACAATTATATGGGGTCCTGCAGCTCTGATTTCCCTGATTTGGACAATTATATGGGGGTACTGCAGCTCTGATTTCCCTGATTTGGACAAATATATGGGGGTACTGCAGCTCTGATTTCCCTGATTTGGACAATTATATGTGAGTACTGCAGCTCTGATTTCCCTGATTTGGACAATTATATGGGGTCCTGCAGCTCTGATTTCCCTGATTTGGAAAATTATATGGGGTCCTGCAGCTCTGATTTCCCTGATTTGGACAATTATATGGAGGTCCTGCAGCTCTGATTTAGACAATTATATGTGGGTTTAGAAGCTCTGATTTCCCTGATATGGACAATTATAAGGGGGTCCTGTAGCTGTGATTTCCCTGATTTGGAAAATTATAAGGAGGTCCTGCAGCTCTGATTTCCACGGAGTGCTTATTAAAGGGACTTTAGACGTAATTTTCAGTGACTCCATACAAAGATGGCAATACCCGATTTACATGGTGCCTTTAAAAGTCTAATCAATTATTGATTAGATATCAATGTTTATAATTTCGAAAACTAATTTTTTTCAATTATGGTTTCTCTCCGAAAGTTTTGAACATATATTTATTAGTATGAATATCTAGCACATCTATACAAGTTTAATAACTGCCAACTACTGAAATGCTACAACAATCGGTGGTGTATTTTTCGACCTACGCATATCCTCTATATTACACTTCTGACCTACTTGCACGTGGTTTTCCAGCTGCTTTTTAGCTGCTGTAGGTCTGTTAAACTATAGGTCAGTTGCACCTTAATTCAAAAAACTTTTGTTTGATCAAACCTACTGTAGGTCGGATGTACAATTATTTGTAGGTCGGATAGTCATCGATTGTAGGTCGTATTTATACTTAAGTAGGTCGGATACATATGCATTTGTAGGTCGGATGGTCATCAATTGTAGGTCGGATTTACACTTTAGTAGGTCGGATATATGCATTTGTAGGTCGGATGCACACATTTGTAGGTCGGATGGTCATCGGTTGTAGGTCGGGTTTACACTTTTGTAGGTCGGATATATGCATTTGTAGGTCGGATGGTCATCCATTGTAGGTCGGATTTACACTTTTGTAGGTCGGATATATGCATTAGTAGGTCGGAAGTTCAGTATAGAGGATGTTGCGTATAGACGATGCAACATTACCTACAAGAATCCCTTTACCTGGTAATAAGTGTACACTGTACAGGTGATGAGACTGGTAAATTTACTGCTCTTGTTCTCAATATGTCTCTTCCTTCCTCAAGGTTAGAATTCTTCAACAGTTCCTCTGTTATTCATTCATATACAGTGAGAACCAGAACACTATGAAATAGAATCAAATTTTAAGTTTTTAACGTTGAAAAGTCCAATGAGTATAAGTTACAGCAATTATTCAGTGGAAACAGACCCATTGCACTAAATTAGTGATTTAATAAGCGTATAGTAAAACTATTTGTTTTGTAACAACATCAACATAAGTATTGCTGTAATGTCGTCTTCATATTCCTCTGTTTTCTTGTTATAACTGTAGTTTGTGCTTTAGTTCATAATAAAAACCAGAGAGCGTGGTCAAATTGAAATCCTAAAATTTAGCTAAAATTAAAAACGTAGTTTAATACAAACAAAATTTAGTTTACCCGGCACAATTTTTTTCATGATTTTTTTATTTGGATTTACCTTGGCAGTTTTTGTTAAGATCATATTATTTTTGATCGGGTGAAGGGTAAAAGTATAGTTCGTTTTTTGTCCATATTTTCTATCAAGATCAAAGTTTGGTGTAGTGTAAGGAGATCAAGTTTATTCTGAACAGTTGCATTTTAATTTTTGGCCCTAACAGAAGATATATGCAAAAAACTATCTAAAAATATGCAATGTTTTAACGATAATTTTCCATTTTTTATAGATTGCAAAGTTTAACAAAAGCAAATTTTAACATAATACAGATTTGAAACCTTGGAAGTTTATAATTGTTTTTAAACCCTGTTATATCGGTAGAAGTTTAATACAACTTTTTATTTAGTTATGCTACCATGGCACTCAGAGAAATAATGCGGGTCAAAACAGATTTAAAGTAAGATTAATGAAAACATAAATATTTTCTTCAAATATAATTTATTTTCTGGAAGAAAAAAGTTTCCACAATATATATATTTAGCGCTAAAAAAAGTGAGGGTTTGTTTATTTGCGTTTAGGGAATGTAAGTGATCTTTGGGGGCAAAATAAATGAAGTTTTGGGTAAAAGTATCAAAAAAGGTGGAGAAAAATTGACAAACTGTAAACTTGAAAAATTTCATTCAAATTGCAAGGGCAGGACCTTAAGCATTTTATACAATAAACATGTATAAGATTAAAGAGTTAAGGGGCATAATTAAAGTTTCATAGTCTCTGGGCTACCCTTTTATTAACAGGGTTGCTCATAAAGGATGAGGCTTTAATGACGACCTTAAACTTTGGTTACAGATATTTGAAGGCTAAAAGAACTTTTTGCCACAAACTCTACAATTTTCTAACCGCTTTATCTTTGGAACCCGATGTCGTAGACCTTTGATATTTTAATCAATTAATTGTGTCAGATCTATTAGTTTGAAATATTAAAGGATTGGGAAATCGGAGTCCAAAAATAGAGGCGGGAGGGGGGGAGGGGCAAAAACCCAGTTCCTTTGGGGTTCTGCTAGATAATTAATGATTCCTGAATGAATGTATTTCTAATGGGAAAACCAATAATGGAAGTTTTTGTTTTATTATATTTAGTAATGTACAGTGCACTACACCGTATTGCGCATTTAAAAAGGAGAAAGGGAGGGATGAGTACTTTAAGTACTTGCTAGAAAACTATCAAATTATTTAGCAGAGGAATCTTATTATATCTATCTCAGGTTTCATAGATTTACGTCGAATCAAGAATTTCATATTTCTATTATTTTTTGGAATGGCTTTCTGGATTTTTCCGGATTTTTCATATTATAATATGTTCATATCCAGATTCAGATGCATTTGTTACATTTCAGTTGCTTTCTTATGAGAGGTTAGAAACTCCAAAAGTTGTCTTGAATGTTAACTCTCAAACACTTCTGAAAATGGACCATCAGGTTTCAAGTCAAAGCATCTAAACTTTTTCTTTAGAATATTTAAATTCAGTCTACTGAGTTATTATCTCAAGTTTCAGGAAATGATACCTGGGGAATTTTCATAGATAAAGATAGATTGCGCATAAGACGACATTTTTTATCTTGAAAGATATAAATGTACAGAGATGTTTTGAAGATATTCCTACTATATAGATTATCTAGGTCAGTTGTGAACATTGGCTGTTCTTATGTCATTGAGTACTTGTGGTGTACATGAGTTCCGTAGAGAGAAATTTAAGTTAGTTTAGTCCTTCTCATGTCCTTCTTCAGTTCTCGTCAATATGATATATTGCTCAGTGAAATAATTTGATATTCTCAAAATAAAATTCTCTCCTGAGTGGTTTAATAATTATGAAATCCATTAAAACACCAAACCACCCCGCTTATCATTGAAGTACAATTTGACCCCTAGAAGTATGAGTTCGCGGACTGTACAATTCTTGGTGATTTTGCGTACATAAGCTATCTAATCTATGTTTATTTATATATGGGAATTTTGAGTAAATCCTGTTTTAAGAAATCGTAGAAAGTGCATTTACAGGATTAAAATCAAACGTAACTGTAGTTTTTCAGACATAACTAAGTTTTTTTGTGTTTTTTTAGATTATTTTTGAACCGTAAATGGTAGGTTGCACAAATCTGAAGTCATAAAACATGTTGTAGGAAAAAATCAAAACCCTAGGTGAACTGCATGACTGCCTAAGTACTGCCTTAAAGAGTTTTTAATCGAAATCAGTAAAAATCACATTAAAAACCGCTTTTTCAAGTCGTATCTAGACAGTCATGGGCAGTGGACTTAGAGCTTTAATTTTTGCTACAATATGTCTTATGACTGTTAAAGAAAAGTTATATAATTTGGGGACATTGCCATTTACGGGTAAAAAGATTCAGTCTTGATACGAAACTTATATTTGATTTTTTACCTGTAAATGCACTTGATTTCCGAGATTTCTTTAAACTGGACTCAAAACCCCTTGGTGGCATTTTCTGAAACTCGAGATTATAACTCTCATAGTCATAGCAATTGTCTTTTCTTTCAAACTTAACCAAATTCCGACCATTTTCCTTATAAATGTACCCGTCCGACGTTTGTACTGGTCCGATGTTTGTACCAGTCCGACGTTTGTACCAGTCCGACGTTTGTACCAGTCCGACGTTTGTAAGTCTGACGTTTGTACTGTCCGAGCTTTGTAACGTCCGGAATTTGTACTGGTACCAGTAGATCAGCTGCATTTAAATACAGGGTGTCCCAATAAACATGGGAATTCAGTGACGAATTCGATATCGTCTTATCAAATAATTCTTTGATTTAGTATAGTGATCCTACTGAGAAAGCTGTGATCTTTAAAAGTTTCGTCTGCTATGTTCACATTTGTTTGTTTATGTTTTGACTGCATACGGTTGAAATTAGTAAAACAAGAAAATTGCAGTATACAAACAGAGTAAACTTGTCCGTCTTCACTGTTCATCTTGAGGAGACATTATAGACACATTTTTGCAGTCTTTTATCCTGTTCATAAAATAAACTCTAGCAGACATAATACTATTATGGCATTTGAAATTAGGTATTACAATGCTAATTCATAACAAAGACGATATCGAATTCGTCACTGAATTCCCATGTTTTTTGGGACACCATGTATATTCCAATGAAAAAATTTCGGTGTTTTTACTTGAAACCTGATTGATCATTTTCAGCAGTGTGCACATTGAAGTGTATCAGAATGCATCTGCCCTCAATATTTGTTATCTCCTGTACAGTTCGAATATCGGAGCATTTTTTAATTTGGTTGCTAGAATTAGAAAGGTTAGGAAAACATGTATAGAGCTTTGTCACAATCGCTTAAATAACAATATATAGGATATTTCAAAGAAGTAAATTTATAAAACTCAACCTTTTTAATTCAGTTTTTTATGGTTGCTTAGATAACGGTTCAATCAGGCATTCAACAATATAAATCAAAGATCAGTTGAAATGTTGTCCCTTCTATATTTCCTATTCTAAGATCAATGAAGAGTACTGAACCTGAGGAGGAGGATTCAATGATCCCTGCTGAAGATGAAGATGAGGAGGAGGGAAGAAAATCCTCAAACTCTGTTGCTGGTGTACACTCAGACCGTCCAGGCGGGGGTGTACAGCGAGGAAGAAATGATAACGGCAATGGAGGCCAAGAACCATGCAGTAAGCGACCAAGAAACCGTTACTAACTAATGGAATAAATTTTTTACTAAGAGAATTTGTCTTGAATTTCAACATTTTATTTTAAGATTTTAATGTTAGTAAAGAAATGAAGATAAGAAATATTTGAGTTGTAGTAATTTTGCAAAGCTGTCAAAATTTGTAATCTTGTAAAAAGTTTGTTCCAAACATGAGATGAAAGTGGAATCAGTTAAAACAGCTCGTTTATGTTTTCGGATTAGCAAAAGTCCAGAAATTTTAGTTGATATTTGACCTGTCAACAATTACAATGATGATAAGTATCTCAACTAAGTGGGGATTAGCTCCATATAAACTGTTTCAAAAATATCACAAAATGTAAAAGAGAATATTCTGTATTTATACACAGCTGGAGTGTCCGGTGTTGCCCAGGTTTATATTATTATTCAAAGTCATAGTTAGTCCTGATGTTTTCCTACACTTGGTATTTCCAAAAAAAATGTAAGCCCTTGAGTCAACCCTTGAGTTCTCTAAAATGTCAGCTAATTGGGTTCAGCAGTTTGGCCAGCAATAGTGAACATTATATATATTTATGAATTATAGTCAATATATAAATATAAACTGTATATGTATATATATATTTAAGCGAAAAGCTTTAATATACAGGGATAAAAAGGGAAAATAGATTGTCAAGTACAATAGATGACAACATTACATCCGTCCTACGATACTTCTGACCTACACGCATGTGATTTTTCAGCAGCTTCTATACTTTATATCGGATACTCACTCAATTGAAAAAAAGTATGTGTATCCGACCTACTGTATTTCGGTTGCACACTTAACTTTAGGTTGGATGCAGACCTTTTGTAGGTCAGATGAACTACCTTAGTAGGTCAGATACTCAACTTTGGTAGGTCGGATGCACAACTTTTGTAGGTCGATCGGATGCACAACTTTTGTAGGTCGGATGCACACATTTTGTAGGTCAGATGCACACATTTTATAAGTCAGATAACACATCTATGAAGAGATTCATACATTTTGTAAGTCTTACGCACAGTCATTAAGTAGTTACTGCGCGCGGCCCAGAAATTGTCTTAACCTAATCTAACTCCCACAGATCAGCTATTACTTTGCCAATTTCATAAATGTGCACGCAGCGCTCGGCCCCCTAGCCTGTCCTAGCTGCTGCGCTAGGCCCAGAAATTGTCTTCAACCTAACCTAACCACACATTTCAGCTATCACTTAGTCAAATAGATAATGTGGCCGCAGCGCTCGGCCCAGACTTAACCAAACTTAACATCCGACCTACAAAAAGTGTGCACCCCTCAAAATGTGTTCATTAAAACTATGAAAGTTGCTCATCCGACCTACAAAACTGGGCATCCAACCTACAAGAGTTGTGCATCTGACCTACAAAAAGTTTGCATCCAACCTACAAAGTATGTGCATCCGACCTACAAATTTAAGTGTAACGGGAACAACGAGATCCTTGGTAGTACTGTCAACTAAATACTGACAAGATCTGCAGTTCTTGCGTAGGTCGGATTAACAAAACAGAATGTACATCTAACCTACAGATGTTGTAGGTCCGAAATATCGTAGGACGGAAATGCTGTAGAACTGAGTAGCATTACCATGATTTTGCCCGGAGAGTTGAAATAGGGGATTGTGATACATGTCCCTAGTCAAACTTTTCAAGGCCTTCTCATTAAAAAAAAATAGACCTCTATCTTTAATGGTTAGGGTGCAAGGGAGGATTTTTAAAAAGTTCAAAACGTACGAATTGGAAAAATGTTCAAAAATAAATATTTTTACTCTTGACAAATATTAAGTTGTGACTGATGTTATTACATCCATTTTCAAGGGCTTTTCAAATGTATAAATTGTATAGCCCTGTAGCTGATCCACCGTTTGACTGTCCTCCACCCTACCCAGTTGAAATAGGGGATTGTGATACATGTCCCTAGTCAAACTTTTCAAGGCCTTCTCATTAAAAAAAATAGACCTCTATCTTTAATGGTTAGGGTGCAAGGGAGGATTTTTAAAAAGTTCAAAACGTACGAATTGGAAAAATGTTCAAAAATAAATATTTTTACTCTTGACAAATATTAAGTTGTGACTGATGTTATTACATCCATTTTCAAGGGCTTTTCAAATGTATAAATTGTATAGCCCTGTAGCTGATCCACCGTTTGACTGTCCTCCACCCTACCCTATGCATAAAAAAATGGCAAAATTTGTTCACAACTTTGAAGTTAAAAAGTGAAGAAGTTTTAGCGTCCTAATGTCAGCCGTTTTTAAGTTTTTTTTCAGAAAACTACGGGGGGGGGAGTCGGAAAACACCCCCCACACCCTGATCGTGATAGGTTTAAGTCTGCAGGTGGGCATGGATCTTTGTAAGGTGGGGGGGGGGGGTCCTGTACCCAGTTAAAGACACTAGAATGGATGTGCAATTCTAGAGGATTTCTTAAAGGCCAGCTTTAATTTCAATATTTCAGAACTCTATGTCAAAAAGTTTTAGAGAAGGTTTTTATTACAACAGTTTTTAAAATGTAAACAAATATCCTCGAGGCTCGGTGTGCTGATGGTTAAGATTGCTCTTTTAAGAAAGAGAAGGAATTTACATCCTACGTATTCAATTCTCTCTTAACACTCCAGTTCGGTAAATCTCTTTAAACCAGTTACTTATGATGACTTGGCTAAGCTTGATTAAAGTTGGCTGCTTATTGATATACTCTTGTTCTCAAGTAGTAGTTCCTCCAATGCCCAGCCTTTACACATTTACTATTAACTGTATTGGGTTGGTAACTGCATTGTCTGCATCTACCCTGCTGATAAGCTTCTTGAACTCGAGACCCTCTGCACAAAAGAACCTGCTGAATCGAATCCTGGCTCTACTCACAATTATTCTAATGTTTGGGACAGTTAGAAACTTTCTGGTGTCACTTCTAGCCTGCTTTTGGAACACAGAGCTAAAGGAATTCATCAATGATTTCCCGGCTTTAAGCACTGGACTACTCTCATTTAGAACTTGTTCAATAATAGAATCTGTTCTAGCATGCCTACTCTCTGGAGGAAGACTTCTTTTGGTGTTGAACCCTGCCATGTTTCACAACATTAATCCAGCTTCTACATGGGCTGTAGTTGCAGGCATAGTTGCAATCATCCTAACTGCTCTAGACTTCACATATGGATTCTTCATCTGTAATAAATACTCAAAAACTAACCCAATTTTTATGTTAAAAGCTGAAACCGGAATTGCTGTTGAGATTGAAGTCAATCATTTCTCTAACGGCAGCTTAAACAACACAGGGCAAAATAATGATCCTAATGGTTCATCTTGTAAAATCCTTCCAACCGTAACTATTTTGGTCTGTTGCATGATAGTTTTGGAACTAGTTAAACTAGTCTGGTTGTTCCTGAAGGAGTTTAGGAAAGTGAAGAAAGATAAGAAGATTGAGCCAATACAGATGAATCACATCAGACCCAATCCTTCACAGCTAGCTGGCAGTAGTAAAAGACTAAGGAAAAAGAAGACAATTCAGCGATGTGAATCATTCCCAAAGATGTTAAAGCCAGGAACTACCAGAAGAAACTCACTTTGCCTGAGTCTAACTATGTCCGAAGCAATGATAAAAAAGGTAGCCAAGGAACCCCCAAGGAGCCCTCTTAATCCAGATGCGTCCCCCATAGCTGTCATTAATAAAAGGGAACTTTTCAAACATGTTATTGAAAAATATGTTTTCAGAACAGCCAGCTTTATTACAATCGTAGCAATGGTTGAAATAATAGTGACCCTTTGTGTTGCCTTGAAATATGCTGGTGAATCTGGAACCTGGACTCAGATAGCTCTCAGCAGACTTGTGGCATATGTTTTAGTTGTTGTCATTGTTTCTTGTGATAAAGATATCATGTTTTATCTGTCCACTTTGCTCCATCATTGATTTACATACGTGGAGCAGGAGCAATCCATTGATTCGTTGGTTGAAACTTTTCTTTAAAATTAAATTAATCAACTATCAGTAAACCCGGTTCTTGATATCTGTAAACTAAGAAATTGAAATTAAGAGCATCAGTTACATTTGCATTATCACTTTAACTCTCACAGTAATATACTGATACAAAAAAGTGATATTCCTACACAATCAGGATTTGCGTGAGTTTATCACAATCGTTCAACAAAAACTTTCCATAGTTAACAGAAACTTTTATTTGACATGATGTATCGCTTAATCTGTAAAAAATGGCTGACTAATTACTCAAGATCTTAAAAATATAGAATTATTAATTATTACTGACTGAAAAAATTAAGAACAGAGACGTTTTGACCTATGTCTGTAAAATTTGTTTTACTTATCTGATTGATGTTTGTTCTTAGAGTTATAAATAAATACTTGCGTTAATACCTTTACTTTTATACAAAAGACCTGACGGGTAACTTTAAGTGACACGCCATGGTAAAGATGGCAATGCCAGATTCTCAAGTTTAAAAGTTTTGCTTGATCAAGTATGGATTATGTCTTTTTAACTGTAAAACATAATTTATTTTATTTAAGGGTTGTGGAAAAAGCATATAAACAAAACAATATATCAGTAAACCTGTTTCAAGTTTTTTATCGAAGTCTTTTTATTTTTTGTTTTACTTAAGATTGATTAAAAGATGTATACCCCAATATTTTGTGTTACGCCGTTCTCTTATCATTAGATATTTGACATATGGGTGTACCACCAGAGATAAAAGAGTTACAGAGATTGATTATCAGCTAAAAAATGCGATATTTTCCACAGCATGTTCTATTGTGTACAAGTACTGTACACGACCAATCAGTAAAAATCTGTTTTCAGGGATATATAAGGATCCTTTGGATACGAAACACAAAATCTTCAAAATAAGACTGAATTCATAATTGTTATGTTTCATGTTTAAAATTGGAGTATTTTTTAAAAGTTGTTAAACGCAACCCCTAAATGGGTATTATGTTCAACAAGTGGCAGTAAGATGGCACTCTAAAAACCTATTGTAAAAACGTAGCATGTTGTGCCGGGTGAATTTAGGCTTACGTAGCCCACCCTGTGAAAGGAGATAAGCAGTCTGTGTAGTCTGTGGTGTACCCTATAAACCCTTTTAATCGTAACTATTGAGTTCAGATGGACGATAAATAATTTTTGTCCAATGCATTTGCATTGATTTGCTAATGTCTTAAAGAAAAATCGAACTCTCAGACACAATTGAGTTGTGTCCTTTTATCCGTAAGACATTTAAATTTTTTTTTTTGATTTTTAGAATATTTCCCTATTTTTTTCTTACGTCTATCTTTTTCTTTCATGTTTACAAAATCTGATTTATGGATTATGTTTAGAATCTAGAAAACTGATTATTTTCGTTTGTGGTTTCTCTACAAAAGTGACTTTCGCATTTCTATAGTGTAGGAAAACATATAGAAACTATTAAAACTTAGAAAAACGACACTATTTTCCACATTATTGATCAGATAACAGGTTTCAAGGCTACCGTTTATAAAATCGTGCGTTGCCATTATGCACGATGGGTCACATAAAATTACGCTTATAGTCCCTTTAAGATTAGAATTTAATACGTATGTTTATAAAGGGCTTTAACAAAACAAAATATAATTGTTCACAAAAATCGTAGAATCAAACAATCCATTTTTGCAATAACTGTTTTTAGTCGTGAAATTGATAAATGTTAATATTGAAATGTCCAGAACTACGAAATAATCTTATTCCTATTTAATATCCCGTGAGTGCTCACATTGGATATCGAGATTAAACGTTTCAAAATGACCAACAAGTTTGTTTGTACTTCTGATTATCGTTCATGACAAAACCACTAGATTAAGTAACTCCTCAAAGTTTTGACCAATGAGAAAGCTTATTCAATTTTTATTTTACAGAAAAATAGAGTTTAAACTTATTCCGTCAATTCTAAAACAGTAAAATTAAATTTAAATCAAAGTATTTTTAAATTGAATTCTATTTGTAATCCTAACGTTTACTTCAATTGAATTACAGGTCAATACAAAATTAAATTCTAGAACTGTTTGGTGTCCAATTTTAAGACACTCTGAAACTTGAATAATAAATCCTGTATATGCCCCTAAACTCACACAGAGCCCAATCCCCTTATATATGCCCCTGCTCCTCCATCCCCCCCCCCAAAAAAAAATTCCTGTATATGCCCCTGAAGNTATATATATAGATGTATATGTTGCGTATAGCTGGCCAAACGGCTGGACCGATTAGGCTGAAATTTTTTGTGGACACTCATGGGGGGCCGGTTGATGGTATAGGCTAAAAAATTTGATTTTTTTCAACATTTTTTTCCACGGGCAACGCCGGGCCATTCAGCTAGTTTTAAATAAATTTAAATAAATAAGGAAATGACAGGGTTTCCCATAAAGAATAGGACGTTAATGAAGATCTACAACTTTTAAATTCTGTCGATATTTTTCTAATTGATCTTGATTCCAGTTCTTACAGCTTACAATGAAACAATTATTCAAGAAAAAACCATAATGAAAACCTTCAAGTCGGCATTCTTTATAAGTTTTCCAAATATAAAAACAAAGATTTCCTAATATGTTTAACTTGTCAAGCTACTTCAATAATAATGATTAATGCTTTACAATAATGTTTCATAAAGAAAGAAACTGATTATTTCCCAACAAGATATGATTTTCTAAACATTACATCTTTCAACCATAGTGTGAGTAATCAGTTAAAACTTAAAAAATAAAGTTAAGATGAAAGGTAGATGACAAATTTAAAAATGCCACAAACTAATTTCCTTATCTCTATATCTTTGAAACCTGCTGGTGAATAACTTCGACTATTTGTATTACTAGAACTTATATTTTAATATATATAAAAGGTCTATATACGACAACAGGGTAAAAACGATGTATTCAGTTCGTCTAACAAAAATTGCATGAACAATTTAAAAAATTCTAATTTTTGAATAATTAAGTCTGTATCCGAAGTAAAAACCCTATTGCAATATGAGCAGAGGTTCTTTAACCAAGCTGTTGAAGCACTAGATGTATTCTCAACCTTAACAAAGGTAAAATATAAACAAGGAAATTCGTCTTAAAGGGAATGTCAGCGTAATTTTAAGTGACCCTTCATCTAAAGATGGTAATGTCTGATTCACAACGGTACCCTTGAAACCTTAATTTGTTGTTCTTTTGATTCTGATAATTTATCCATTGCTTCTTAAAATTAAGAAATGGACAAATCACTATTGCAAAGAAACCGCGTTGTAAAATGGGCCATAATTGCAATCGACATCTTAAATTTACGCTTCCAGTATCTTTTGTGTGAAGTATTGATTATCTTAAACTTTTGATCTATGTATCCAATGATGGGCATTTTTAAAGGAATTGAGTCTTTGCCACAAACTCTGATTTTCTCTTCCCTATGCAACCAAATGTCGTAGACCTTTGACATTTATTAGATCAAATAAAATAAGTTTGAAATATCAAAGGTTTACGACATCGGGGTCCAAAGATAGAGGGATTAGATAATCAGAGTTTGTGGCAAAGACTCAATTCCTTTGAAGATAATTGCTTATTCACTCAAAAGTTATCTCTGCAGTGTATTACCAACACTTGATATCGAAGAGTAATCAGGATAAATCATGATGTCTGTTGAAATGAAGGTCATATGATGCTTAATCCATAGATTAAGTTCCGACTTCTGTACATCTGACAGTCAGGAAAATATAGCACGTTTAAAGAGGAATATATATCACGTTTAAAGAGGAATATATAGCACTTTTAAAGAGGAAAATATAGCACGTTTAAAGAGGAATATATAGCACGTTTAAAGAGGAATATATAGCACGTTTAAAGAGGAATATATAGCACGTCTAAAGAGGAATATATAGAACGTTTAAAGAGGAAAATATAGCACGTTTAAAGAGGAAAATATAGCACGTTTAAAGAGGAATATATAGCACGTTTAAAGAGGAAAATATAGCACGTTTAAAGAGGAAAATATGGCACGTTTAAAGAGGAAAATATAGCACGTTTAAAGAGAAAAATGTAAAAAGTTTAGTAAGTATAGATTATGAACGGAGGATCAGATTCTGAATTTGTAATTTTTCTACTTTAAAAATGTGCCTCAATCATCATTTTCAGAGATATAAATCTGACAAACTCGACAAACAGCTAAATCTATTTATTTCAAAAGAAAAGAAAAATTGAGCAAAGACTGAGAGAACGTCTTTTGCGCAAGCAAATCAACTCTATAGCAAAAACATCCGCGAAAATGTGAGAAAGTTTTAAGTGACATTGATTTGACAGACATTCTTTAATTCTGAAAAATTTATCTGCAAAGTTTGACAAGAATTAAATTCTCGTCAATCATTTTTGATTTGAAAACCTCATTAGGGTCATTCCAAAATAAAAGGGACAGGCTCCGACCTCAGAGGTCTCCAAAAACATTTTATGAAATAAAATATGTTTTTATTCAAACATTAAGGTGTGTGCAAAATCTCAGCCACATCAGGGATGGTCACTTCCAAAAATGTCAAAAAATTGTCCCTTTTGTTTTGGAATGGCCTCGGTTTGGACCAGGGAGTAAGGAATAGAAGGGAGATATAACTGACGCGGTTCGCCCTACCAAATGATTTTACATTCTTTGCAGACGGTTCTTCATTTGAATATGAAATATTCAGAAAAGGTTATTGTATACGCAGTTAGTGTACATCATGACAAATATTTCTTATTCAAATGGAGTACCGTCTGCAAAGCATGTATAATACTATGGTAGGGCGAACCGCGTCAGTTATATCTCCCTTCTATTCCTTACTCCCTGGTTTGACCCACTATAGAGATGTATAGGAAATATTTCCTTTTCTAGGTGTTTGAGGATTATATTGAGAGTTATAAAGAAATGGGAATACAAACATGGGATGAAAAAAAGGTAAAACATGTTTATTCATATTTCTTAACAGCGACTGAATACTTTATTTCAAGTAACTGTTTATATCCGATTCACAACGGTCACCTTAAATCCTTTGTCTGATCAAGATCTAGACGAGATAGCTTTCATTTCTCGTTTTTTTAATGCTGCAATAATTTACCCAGATGGTTTAAAGGGACAGACCGGCTATGTAAGGTAGTTAAACTGAGTATGCAGTGTTGTGAACAAATTCTTTAGGTTTCATTTGAGATATATGAAACGTTTTCCACGATGCAAAATTACTGAGTTTGAGCACAAAGTCGACGTTCAAAATGATTTATGTGGGTACGTTTTCAGAATCCGTTTTTGTTTTTAAATATTAAATAACGACGACGAAAAATATAGTACAAATTCTACAGTACACTAATACGATGTTAAGGAACATATTTCTCAAGAGAAATTTATCAATAAATCTAAATAATCAAATTAATTATTTCCTTTACATCATTATATTCAATTTCTTATTTTCTATGAATTTGTTCGCAGATTTCTTCAAATTCTTAAAATGTCGTATTTTTAAAAAAAAATTCAGAAAATCTGCAGAAAACTTTTGTGACTAAAGAGAGATTATAGAAACTAACATTTGAATAAGATTACTTATTTTCTATGATAAGATTAATTTTTATTTTCTCAACCTGTTCCTAAACAACTAATTAGTTTACTGTAGAATTTTTTGTACATTTTTGTCGTTGTTATTTAATAATTTAAAAAAAACAATTCGGAAAACGTATTCACCCAAAAGTACGATTTTGAACGTCGACTTTGCGCTCAAACTCAGGATTTACAGATTTTTCAAACGTTTCATATGTCTCAAATGAATCCTAAAGAATTTGTCCACAACACTGAATACTCAGTTCAACTACCTTTACATAGCCGGTCTGTCCCTTTAAAGGGTATCGTTGTGAATCGGACATTCCACTCTATCAATTGAGGATCTTTCGTAGTTACGTTTACAGTTCCTTTAAGATGTTTTTTTTTTATTTTAGATGGAGGATCCCGTAAAGGCGTATTTGCTGATAAGGAAAACGAAAAATAAAAATAAAATTTTTTAAAGTAAATTTTTCATCATGTAATAAATGTAATTGTAAGTGGTACAATGGCATGCCAGATTCACAACGGCACCATTTAACGTTTGCTTAATCAAGTTTAAATTATTTTCTTGTTTTTTAATTCAACTAATTATATTCTTTATGATTTCTATGCAAAAGTAACCTGCGGATTTTTTGCTTCATAAACAATAAAATTATTTAGAGAATTAAACACTTTTTAAGCTATAGTAAGACGTCTTTTTCTTCCATATCATTGATCAGATTATTCTGTTAATCAAAGTACAAAAGTATAAACTGTTTAATTTCACTTTAATTTCAAATCTTATTTTTCGTTCTAAATTCAGACATACTGCTCTAGGTTAGTAATATTATCAAAATTGTTTTTTTTAGAAGGATTTGAGTCTTTGCCACAAAGTCTGATTTTCTACCTGCTATATCTTTGCTACCCAATGTCTGAGATCTTTGATATTTCAAACTATGAATTATGTTAGATTAAATAATCTAAGTTTGAAATATCAAAGGCTTTCACCATCAGGTTTAAAAGATTTTAGGATTAGAAAATCAGAGGTTGTGACAAAGACTTTACATTTAATTCATAAATTGATACATATTATTTAAGCAACAGCAACCCATTGTTGATTGTCATTAAATAAATCAAAAAAACTTTTCTCTGTAAATTGTTTTGCTTAAACTTAAGCGGATTTTAACAAATCTGCATTTTCAATTTTGTAGTCTTTCTTATCTTTCTATCATTGGGACTGCATATAAGATGTAGAAATAAGATATTCAGAATTCTTTTTTCTTCAATAATTGTCTAATCTACAATACAGGTTGGGAGAGTGTTCACTTGAAACTTGTTGAAAATATTGAGAAAATAAACAAAGTTATCAGGTGGAGACAATTTATGCTTAATATGTTTACCTTTTGATTTTTCTATAGTAATCTTTATTTTTATTAATATCTCTGATATACAAACTTTGGTGTCCATTAGGGCCTGATGCAATCAGGGTTCAGCCATGTGTTTGTTCATTCTGAACCAATAAAAAAAGTATGGCGGTAACATCTATCTTTCTATATATCTCATTATCCACTCAGAGTTATGAATCCTTCAATATTTACTTGTACTAAAACTATAGTGATATGTTTCTTGTTTTTTATTAATTCCTCTTCGATATCACGTGTTGGTTGTTCGTTCCCTGCGGGTTAACATTAATTCAGGGATCAATCACTTATATCTCACATTTTAAAGGTGTCACAGTGGATATTGAGATCAAGCATATTGTGGATTCGTGCTATTTAACGTCAAGTTAGGATGTTTGTCATGAATCTGTTTCCACCATAGTTTCAGTAGAAGTAAATATTTCCATTTACTGATAGCGCCGATTGGAGGATTCATAATTCTGATTGGATAATGAGATAGATAGAAAGATAGATGTTACCGCCATACTATTTCTATTGGTTCAGAATAGAAAACAAACAAATGACTGAACCCTGATGGGATCAGGCGCTAATGGACTTGGCATACAGGAGTGTTTCAAGCATTCGTCTCCATCTTACGCGGATTGATTCAATTGTTCCCATGATGGTCATACCCTGCGAGGATAGCTTTAATTGACGGATTATTTAACTAATAAAAATTATAAAAATAATATCGGGATCAATCTTTCACAGAAAAATTTTCAACTTATTTATAAAGAGAATTGTACCCCCCCCCCCCCCCCCCCTCCCCGGCAAACACCCTTGTCTCTTTCCTCTTACTTCAATTTTTCATCATGCATTTACTTTTAATATTTTAGAGGAGTAGAATTGAGAGAGATGGAAAAACTGCCAGATATGAGGGATCTAGAGGGAGCTGCATTAGGTACAAATATTTCTTAGAGAAAAAAAAATTATCTGAATTATGGAGTTCTTGCCACAAACTACGATTTTCTAATCCTTATATCTGTCTGTTAAATCCAGGGGGGATGATAGTTCTCTAATCTCTACCTGTGTGCTCAGTAAGCTGTACTGTATACTTACAACTGTTTACTAATATTGATATACTATAGGTTAGGCCAGAATCTCCTTACAATAAACATATATGCAGTACTCTCTCGGTATAGTTCATGGCCTATATAATTAGTAAAGGATTAGCGTACATCATCACTCTATACACTATAACCTCGTTGATAACCGTAGAGAAATTTCTTAGAAACCCTTTAAGAAGTTTGTACGGTGTAAAATTGCTAAGCAAGAGCGCAACA